GGATTTGGGTGGTGGTGTCCGAGTCATTAAACTCTTACGTCTTTATCCAGTTTTGCAACTTCTGCGGAGTCCAACTGGAGGACCTGGTTAACGTTTGCTATCAAGATCATTGTAACACCAACAAAAGTGATCAAATTTCTGCATCGCCGGAGATGGCTACCGCATTGAGGAGGCTTGGAAGAAGAATGGCTGTTCCTTTTTTCAGGGTGCGGGAGTTCTCTGCTTCAACCTCTGTTCTTCAAAACGAACAGTCTGGCAAATCCATGAACCTTTACACAGCCATCAACCATGCCCTTCATATTGCCTTGGAAACTGATCCTCGGTTCGTTCATTTGAATACCCATTTCGTTTTTCCTTTCTTCTAATCTTGTTTCTGCTTCAATTTTGTGAATTTCCATGGTGTTTGTGAATTGGGTTTGATTCTTTTTTTTTTTTTTTTTTTTTTCTGGAACCATGTTTTATGTTTCAATTGGTCGAATTCTCTTTTTTCAAGGAAACCAAATGTTTGGTATACATGCTATTCCATCTTCCTGGAAGGGAATTACCCAAATGATAATTTTTATCAAATATGCATGTATAAACCAATTTAAATAAAGTATTTGTCACTCTTTATTTGCTGGAAATCATGTATTGCGCCTAAAGTTATGAGCTGGGCCTATACTGATGTTGTTGTTTGCTACTTGTGCCATGCTGAAATTTTGACATTGAGCTTGTATGAATTTTCTGCTGATTATTTGCATGAACTGTGCATGTAGATGGTTTTGTATTCAACTCATCCTTTATATTCTTTGGCAGTGCATATGTTTTTGGAGAAGATGTGGGTTTTGGTGGAGTTTTCCGTTGCACAACAGGATTGGCTGATAGATTTGGTAAAAGTAGGGTGTTCAATACCCCTCTCTGTGAGCAGGTACCTTAACATACTACCTTAGTTCTAAATGCTCCTCCTAGGTTTGCCAATTTATAACATTTTCTTCTAATAGCATGTAAAGAAATGTCTAGAACCAAGCAGGATTTTCTTTGTCAGACTTAGTATTCCCTTTCCAGCAGAATCTATGCCTCACCATTAATTCCTTGCTCTGAAATCAATTATCAACTATGTGCACATGAATGCTGCTATTTTTTGTTTGGAATAATTAGTCTTTGGAAAAGACCTATTGATGACATATTTATATACATGAATCATTCAGGGCATTGTTGGATTTGGAATTGGTCTAGCAGCAATGGTAAGTTAGAAGATTGACCTAATAGACAGCCCAAGCTCCATCCTAGGATCCGTTTTAACCCGTTGAATCTGATTGCTATCACCTTCATATCATCTTATCTGGCAGGGCAATCGGGCCATAGCAGAAATTCAATTTGCAGATTACATTTTCCCAGCTTTTGATCAGGCATTCATCTTCTCTGGTTAATGTTATAAACATCCCCAAAATTCACCTTTACTCCTTTGTTCCTTTTTTACTGACGTGAGCTATACTCTGTAGATTGTGAATGAAGCTGCAAAGTTTAGATACAGAAGTGGGAATCAATTTAATTGTGGAGGTAAGTTTTATACTGTTTTTGATACTTTAACTTTCATCCTGATTCTGTTACTCACCTCCTTTTCCTTTCATGATGAATTTTCCAGGTTTGACAGTAAGAGCCCCTTATGGAGCTGTGGGTCATGGCGGGCATTATCATTCACAATCACCTGAAGCTTTCTTTTGCCATGTTCCTGGTATCAAGGTATATTTCTTCTTCTTGAGTTGGTTACTCAATCTTGGATGTTAAAAACAAAGTACCCCTTAGACTAGCCAGAATGCTTAATACTGAAGTTATTTGATTTTCTAAACATCATGGCGGTCAGCATTGTGGTGAATTGTCTGTTCCCTGAATTATAAGGGGCAACATTTCCACTGTTTGCAGCTATATTAGCAACGACAATCACTAATTGAGTATATCTTTAATTGAACTTGCAACTGATTGACTGATGATTCTGTTATAGGTGGTTATCCCTCGAAGCCCAAAGCAAGCAAAAGGTTTACTGTTGTCATGCATTCGTGATCCCAACCCCATTGTCTTTTTTGAACCAAAGGTACTTATTTAAATGTGCTTCTGATTCATGAACTATCAGTACACAGTTTATCCATGATGGATTTACATATTCCTTGATCTTCCAGTGGCTGTACCGTTTGGCTGTAGAAGAGGTTCCTGAGGACGATTATATGTTGCCATTATCAGAGGCAGAGGTATGATACTACAGTTTTAATGAATGGAAAATTCTTGATCTGATAGAAAACTAAAAATGAAATACTCAGGTGATTAGGGAAGGCAGTGACATCACATTGGTGGGTTGGGGAGCACAATTGTCTGTCATGGAGCAGGCCTGTGTTGATGCTGACAAGGTTAGCATCTTCATTTTCTTTGGTTTAGATGATCTGTTGTGATAGTGGCCTAGAACACTAGACCATTAGGAGTAGCCTCAGAACCCACACTTCTCCCATTTTGAATGGGGAACATGTACCAGCCAATGGTCACAGAGGCCAGTGTAAGTACAGAAAAATAGATGTGCAATAACTATGACTTGGTAAGCCTTGGGGGATGTGTAAATCAAGCAACAATAATTTTCATTATTCTTAACATTTCAATTTCCATTGATTCATGGAATTTTGCAGGATGGAATTTCTTGTGAACTTATAGATCTCAAAACTCTAATTCCCTGGGACAAAGAAACAGTTGAGGCATCTGTCAAGAAGACTGGACGACTTCTTGTGAGTTTAGTACTTCTGAACTTAACACATTTGACAAAATTGGTTGTTAGTATAGTTGGTAATTAGCTTCTTCCCATTTGAATAGATTAGTCATGAGGCTCCGGTTACTGGAGGCTTTGGTGCTGAGATCTCAGCTTCCATTGTTGAACGTTGCTTCTTAAGAGTAAGTTCAAAATCCCAGTAGCAATCCATCCTTCAACACCTTCTGCTCATGCGCAATTCATTTGACCCTAGTCAGGCAGGATTTTAGACAATTGATTGATATCATAACTCTGTGGCTTGCAGTTGGAAGCTCCAGTAGCCAGAGTATGCGGCCTCGACACTCCATTCCCACTTGTTTTCGAACCATTCTATATGCCAACCAAGAACAAGGTAAAGTCATTCAACCCTTAAAAAGTCCCATAATTTTGAGCAAATGTTTCAACATCTTTGTTAACAAGAGCTTCATCTTTCCCTTGCCTTTTTCATATGCAGATATTGGATGCAATCAAAGCAACAGTAAATTACTAGCACAATTCAGTTTCAACATTGCTAAAGAATGTGCTATATTTCCAACATAACTGAATAATATAATGCATCATATTGCACTTTTCATCATGGAGATTTGGTAATTTATTATTATTAGTAATTTAGAGAAATTATATATGGAATATGAGATTAGTAATAGTTATTATTATTATTATTATTATTTTAAAAAAGACAATGAGAGGAAGGCCTCAGAGATCTTGGTGGAACATAATCATCAAGTGGAAGTTAGGAAAATCCCCATGAGGAGTAGCAAATATTTATCTCACAT